ATGGGCCATAATAATCATATACATTGTATATTGACAAAATAAAAATTAAAAAAAAAAAATTCAACTCTTGACTCCCCTGGAGCCATTCAATTTTTAAACCTTTAAAATAAAAGAAAATCAAGAAATAAAACTATCTGCTTCAATAGAAGTAGAGTTAAAAAAGCAAAACAGACACAAAAGAAATTTAAAGGTAGCAGAGGAAGAGAGAAAAAGAAGGGAAGACAAGAAAAAAACATAGCAATTGAGATTTTAGCTTTCTAGCTTACAGTAAGAATTTCCATTTTTAAAAATTAAAAAAAAAAAAAAATATATATATATATATGCTTTAGTCGTATTCCATAGTTTTGGACAGTTTTACATTCCCTTTAACCTGAGTCATTTGAGATAGGTGTAAAATCTCATGCTGGGTAGAGGGACGACTTTTTTTTTTTCCTATTATCTTCTAATTTTACAGTAATCAAAGAATGTAGCCTACTATGCTACTCAGAGTGTGGTCCAGCACCGTTTGCTTCTGTCCTGCACCAGAATGTAAATCAAATATGTCACTAAAGCACACTGCTTTAGTTCCACTGGTGTTTGTTTTCACAGCAAGACTTTCTCAATAAAGGCACCAGTGTACTCATTTACATTCTGGCACAATTTTCTTCCCTGGTTGCAGACCAGTCACAAAAGGCTCAAGAAAGGCTACTTGAGTAGCACTCATCTTTACTATTTCCACATTTTGAGATTTAATTTTACTTATAGTCAATTTTTGGTAAATATTACATGCATAGGCTCTTTAAAAAATGCTCTCTATTTTCATGTGTAGCACTTATCATGTTATTTATGTTCTAATATACCCTTGCCTTTTGTGGGTTGACCACTCACTGGCCAAGACAGATGAGTTAAAATATCCTACTATACTATAGTTTTTGCAACATAAATGTTTTTGTTGTTACTTGCTGCATAAAATTTTCATCAATTGTGTACTAAAACATTACAAGCACCCAGTAGACTACAGATGATCCCCAAATTAATAATGGTTCTACTCAATAATGAACTTTACAGTGTTGCAAAAGTGATACACATTCAGTAGAAACAATACTTGAAGTTTTGATCTTTTCCCAGGCTGTCAATATACGTTATAATACTCTCCATGCTGGGCAGCAGCAGCAAGCCACACCTCCCAATAGGTCACACTGTCATAAGTGTTCTGAACACATTTTCAAAATAGGCCAGGATACCCGTGGCTCACTCAGGAGAGTGCGGTGCTGATAACACCAAGGCCCCGGGTTCGGATCCCACATAGGGATGGCCGGTTGGCTCACTGGCTGAGCGTGGTGCTGACAAAACCAAGTTAAGGGTTAAGATCCCCTTACCGGTCATCTTTAAAAAAAAAAAAAAAAAGGCCAGGATAGGCGAGGCTACGCTATTATGCTCAGTAGGTTTGGGCATATTAAATGCATTTTTGATAATGTTATTTCCAACTTGATATTTTCAACTTACGTGTTTTTCGGGAGGTAACCTCATTCCAAGTCGAGGAGCATCTGTAATTGGGCTCTTATGCCAACTACATCACTAACATTAGGCATGAGCACCAGTGAAGCAGTGAGTAAGCACCTAGCACATTACTTATGATGTATTTTAAAGTAATCAAGAGTACAAAGCATATAAACCCTGGTTTTATATGAATTTTTTATATGAAAGCATATTGAAATCCGTCTTCTGAGAGCACTAGCCTATATCTGTAGCCAAAATTGATTAATAGAAAATCTTTATTTTTTATTTTTTATTAAGGAGTAAAGAGTGAAAAATTAGAAGCAGAACAGACAACATAAAGTTCTACCACCTAGAAAAGCATTCCTACCAAGTTCTGGTCTTTGAGAAATCCTAGATGTTTCTTAAACTATTGACTGAAGAAAAAGAAGTTTCCTATAACCATTAGACCCAAATTATTTGAGAATGTTTATGTACCTTCATTCCGCAGCCTTGACTTTTGTGTTTCATCCTGAGTATCATTAAATCTGACCGAAGAACAAACAGAGTCTGGCTTTTTCCGTAAGTAACTTCCACATCTTTAAAAAAACAAGATCAGGATCAAAGGTAACTTGCTTATTAGCATTTTCTAATCTGCCCTCAACTTAGTTTCTCCGAAAAGTGACAATGATATAAAAAATGATTATATAAAATAAACAGAATTTTACTAATGTTCCTCAAAATAAAAGGATGCCCCTCATGTTGGATCCAGTGGAAACTTCATCATTTGCTGCCACTGTGGCAGCAGAATCAGGAAATCCAAAAAATTCCCTCTGAAAATTAAAATCTAACAACTATAAAGCCTCTGAGAGCAAAATCATTTTTCCATTTTAAGACTGATGACTTTGCATTCAAAGACTATTTTCATAACACATCAGTTAACAGTACATTTAGCAAAAACTACCTACTCTTAACATTAAATGGAAAAGATACACTTTAATGAAGAAAACCTATATTTTCTGTATTTACTGCATCATATAATTATGTTTATGAAAACAGTCTATATTTAACATACCTAATTACAGACTTCTCTCGGCCTTTTGATTCCTTATCTTCACTGTCATCAGAAAACTGGTGGTGAAGGATTTGATCTTGCTCTTGCACCTGGCTCCGCGTTCGAAAGCCAGCGAGTATTGCATCCGGAGAGCACACAGGAGGACTCGTGTACACCTTGCAAGTGATTCCCCACCCAACAACAAAAAAAAGTGACTTTTAAAAAGTCTATTTTTATCCTATTCCTTAAAATGTTTTTAAGACATTATTAGACAGGTACTCTTAAAATAGTCAGTCACTAAAAATATGTGCCCCCCCCCCCAAAAAAAGTCAAAATTAATTTCACAATGTACCTCACGGACACATACTTCTTTCAGAATCTACACAGCTCTTTCTCTTAGAGAAAGCTCTTCTATCTTCATTTGTAGCTTCATGGAAAATAGTATTCAAAAGGGAAACCAGAGAGGCATGGAAAACATCCCAGCTCAGGCACTCCATAGCAAACGTGCCCACTCTCCAGTCTTCCCACTTCAGAACACCTGGATAATTGCGGTGTTGCTGCTAAAGGTCTTCATCCCCCTCCAATCCAAATCCCATCACCAGAAGAAATCCAGAGCCACTGCCACTCCCTTCTGCCAGGACAAATATTCCCACTTTGGATACAATTCTTGGGTATGGGATATGAGCGAGGGAGTTCTTTACAGAAGAACTAACTCAAGAAGTATTTACCTAACAAGAACAATGTACCTAGCATGGCCATTTATCCCGATAAATGACAGGCATCAAGGTTTCACTTTTCAGGGTTTGGGAATTATTTCAGGAGCAAATAAAACCTTTTGGTTCAGCCAAACTTTGTTCTCTGGGATTTTACAAAGAAAATCCAAATGGTGCAGCTTAATAATGAACACCAAATAAGGTCGGCCAGAATGAGTAATATTTAGCAAGTTAAACCTTTAACAGTCATTCTACCCTTCCAGACTCGTAAAGCCTTCTGTGATCCTACTGAGGTGTTGGGTTCCTCTTCTCCTCACTTGCTTCTATATTCCACAGCTCACTACTTAAGAGATATTTTAGCATTTTCAACCATACTCCAAACAGTATTGATCACAGAATAAACACTGAAATAAGCTGATTCAGCTGAAGAGTATATGTCTAAACGCCAATTTTTTTTTTTCAATTCTAACCACTTTTCCCTAGAATTACATAGCCCAAGGCTGGAAAGAACTTACCTGGTTCAACCAGTCATCTCATGTTTGACCTTCCTCTGTAATACTGCAAATTACCACCTGGCCTCTGCTTAAACACATTCACTGCAACAGCCTTCAAAGCCCTGGGCCTTGCATGCCTTCTTTGGCAGTTCTCACTAATACATCCTCCTTTATGTTCCCTTAGTGCTTCCTCTCATTTGTCCTTATTCTAAAAACAAAGTCTAACAATAACCATGTCTTCAAATATCTGAAATCAGTCATCCTGTCCCCTCTGAATCAGACTAGATCTAAAGTTACTTCTGATTTTCCCTAATATCCTTCAGCAACTTGGTTGCTTTCTTAAAATAATCTAATTTGACTTACTGTTGTGCACAGACCTGAATGTAATATTCTAAATCACCACACAATAAGACAGCCTCATGTCACTAGTGATGCATTTAATTTTGGTTCATCAAATGTGCTACAACTTTGCTTAATGCATTTATCATGACTATGGTTTTCACATATTTAACTCTATTATATTTCACATATTTAACTCTGTAATTCCAACTGAGAGTTCCACAAAGGTTCAGGATATGTAAGTTGTAATTTTGCTACTGTGAGGTTGGTATGTTCTAAAGGAATGCATTGTTTAGCCAGCCAAAGAACATGGTTAACAGTCCAGCAGATATATCTGACAGAGCTCTCCTGTTCACTCTTCAACATGAGTATCTATGCATGCAAAGAAGTGATTGAAAACCAAAACAAAACAAATTACTTTGTGAGAAAAAAATGGCCTTTGAGAGATAAAATCTTAGTAAAAGTTGAAGAGGCTGTTAATCGGTAAGTATGGAGTTATAAACAGGAATTTTATGATTCAACAAAGATACAATTCATGGGCTGGCCCATGGCTCACTCGGGAGACTGCAGTGCTGATAACACCAAGGCCATGGGTTCAGATCCTAAATAGGGATGGCCGGTTCGCTCACTGGCTGAGCGTGCCCCTGACAACACCAAGCCAAGGGTAAGGATCCCCTTAACCGGTCATCTTTAAAAAAAAAAATACAATTCATTTACAAAAATGCTAAATGATTTTACAAATATTCCTACTTTATGAATTTGCATATTCTAGAAAGTTTCTAAGATATATCTCAAGAATATTATGGTTGGTTTCTTGGTTTACAATTATGTCAAGTACAGAAAGTGATATTTTTTAGCTACAGCTTTCATTTCTTTTTTGTTTCTTCAATACTAAAATGCCATCAACTGACCCACGCTTATTTTTATATCATCAAGAAAGAAGAAAAGCTGTCAAACTATGACATGTCATGAATTGTAAAACATATCTTGCCATTAAAGATGATAAAGTGTGAAAAAATGTGAGTCTTACAGCCGATTAAACATGACAGGTTTTCATTAGCATCTTGGTGTTATGTTAAAGCTAAGTAGTGACTGGGAGGACCTTTGTAATTTTTTCTTTCCAAAATGCCTGTTTAGTATGCATAACATTGGCTCTTGGCTTCAATCATTATCATATTTACCATGTTAAAAAAGTACCATGTTAAAAAAGTAGCGTTCTCTGTTATATTTTTTTCTTTAAGTTTAAATACAGATTTGATTTTGCATTTTATTAGATGAATTTTTGGTATCTATTGAGACCAACGAGTTTCTCCTTTTTTCCATTATTTTGATAAATTATATAAATACTTTTTATTTATCTGTACACTATTTAGTTGTGTGGACAATTTCTTTAGGACATCTGCATAAGCTGTATCTTATAATTCCATTCTGGTGTTAAACTTTTCAGATTAAGAGACCACCTGAAAGTAAATGTTCAATATTAGGAAAAAGTACACAATGGCATGCCCTTAGGATACTATGCAGCCATTAAAAATCATAATATTATGAAAGAGTATTTAATGAATGTCAAATGTTTGTGATATATTGCTAAGTGAGAAAAGCTAGTAATAAAAGCATGAGGTTACCTCAAAAAGTTCATGGAAAAAGAGAGTTAAAAGATAACATAAATCCATGAACTTTTTGAAATACCCTTGTATATGTATAAATATAATAGATAAATAATATACTTTTAAAATAAACGAGATCTTTTCGCTCTTTACTTCCAATTCATATAAACAAGGATGTAAGAAATAAAATCAAACTCTTTCTATAATCAATTTAAAAATTAAGCCCTTTCCTCCCTTTTCCTTTCAAAGTTATTTAAGTTAAGGAAATATTTCTCTACTTTTTACTATCTTTTTAAAACAGTAAGACTATTTTTACTTTAAG